AGTAGTAGTAGTAGTAGTAGTAGTAGTAGTAGTAGTAGTAGTAGTAGGAGTAGTAGTAGTAGTAGTAGTTAGTAGTTAGTAGTTAGTAGTTAGTAGTTAGTAGTAGTTAGTAGTAAGTAGTAGTTAGTAGTAGTTAGTAGTAGTGAGCAGTAGTGAGTAGCGAAATTGGGCAATCATGCGCAAGTTTTGGTTCACCCGTGGTGTTGCTGAGTCTCAGCGGCGGTTGGTCTTCTTGGCTATGGTGGTGTCTCCTTTGTACTCAGGCATTGAAACTTTGCAGACTCATTCTGGTGACAATGTCCGACTTGAAAGAGTGCTTGCTGCTTTGGCTCGCAAATCTTGCCAAGGTCGTGCCTGCCTCAAGCCACACGAGGATGTTCACGGCCACCATGGCAGCTTGTCAAACTCGGAGGTTTTTGCAAATTTGCAAATCTTTCCACCTGTTTGGGAACGCAGAGCCCGCCGTCTTCTTTGGTGGCAAAACATCGCCCGGCACCCCGACGACTATGTGTCGCTACTGGCCACAGTGTTTGGGCATTATGGCCGGGAAGATGGACCCGCTATTGGGGTGGATGGGAGAATCACTGCTCTCGCCAACCCGTGGTTGCGGGAACTGGTGGAAGATCTGGACAAGTTGGGTGAGCCTAATTTGGTGGCTGACCAGCCACTGTCGATTTTTTATCATCCTTGCAAAGATTTGTTTGTCAAGCTTCCTATCAGGACCTGGCTGGCGCGCAAATACAGAGAGGAGTTGGCAGCGATTGGGCATGCGCCTGCGGCTGACGCAGAGAATGCAGATGAGGAGGCGGCTCTGCTTCGCTGTGACTGGATCGGGGCTGATGGGGCCCAGTGTGGCTACACTACGCAGTCAACCACGGCCCTTTCCACACACACAGACATCGCCTTCATGGCGTGCGCATCACTGTGCGACAAATTGTGGTTTGCAATCAGTGCCCGTGGTGCCGTCGAATCTTTGCCTCCATTGAGATTGCCAAACGTCATGCTCATGCCCGTGTCAAAAAAACGGCGATGCCCACGGCGCGGGGGAAATGCAGCGGGCATGGTGGAGCAGTTGCATCCACCTCCAACCTTTCACTGTCCAGTTTGTCCACATGAAGCTGTCGATTTGGAAACCTTGCAGACACATGTGGTGGGCCACGTCCCTGCTGGCAAACATGTTTTGCACCAGTACCTCATTGCGGCTCAACAATAGTTGGCAAGTAGAGACTGAACCTTCAGCCATGGACTCTTGGTTTGGTGCTGTCCCCCATGGTGCAGGAGATGCACGGCAGGTGTGGCCTCGCACCGGCCACAGCTCCAAGGACAACGAGCAGCTCTTGACTGCAGTGGCTCGTCTGACGTTGAAGACTGCGCAGACCTGCCGCAACCTGGAGAGTGCTGTCTTTGTTACCTACATCCTGGCCAAGGATGGTGTGTATGCTCAGGCCGCGTCGGCCGCCGGCCAGACCTATGCGCAGAGAGCTCGCGCTGCGGGGAAGAATCACACCTTGGGACAGCCGTCTTCGTGGGTATGGGCTGCTTTGGCCCAGGCCGCATTGAAAGACGAAGCTCTGTTTGAGGAGAAGCGTGCCATGCTGAAGCAACATTGTGATTCTGTCACGGATCCCATGGTGCTGAGTGATCAGGTCCTCTACTGTCGATTGTCAAAAGTGTATGACCAGACCAAGACTCGTCTCCAGCTCTCGGTCGCCCCTGGTGCCTTGAGTGATGTGTTGACTGTCTTGCAGGAAGGCATCGAAAAAAGCGGAGGGCTGCGCAAAGATGGCCCAGCTCCTCGCGGTGCACTTGAAAGACAGATCCAAGAATTGCTTGGTGAACCCAGCATTGAGTCATGACCATCGCCTTTTGAGCGGGCAGTGAGGCAGTTTGATTTTCCGTACTTTTGCGTGCTGATGGGCATCTTGGCTGTTCAATTCTGGTTTGTATTTTCCGATCTCACTCTAGGTGCAGTGTTCTCGTGCGGCATCCGATTCACACTATGTCGGGTGCGCTGGATCCCCAGGCACGGTGTGAAGCACCCTGTCTGGCGCTCCGTTGGCGCCAGCGCGGCCAGGTGGATCACGGCCGACTGAGGTCTTGTTCCATTGTAAGTGCATGCTTGTGCCTCGCCGTGGAGCTAGGTTTCACCAAGGTGCGGCAGAGATGGAGCTCCGAAGGCGCAGTGAAGTGAAGAAGGTGGTAGTAGTAGTAGTAGTAGCAGAAGTAGTAGAAGAAGTCGTAGTAGTAGTAGTAGTAGTAGTAGTAGTGGTAGTGGTAGTAGTAGTAGTAGTAGTGAGTAGTAGTGAGTAGTAGTGAGTAGGAGTAAGTAGCAGTAAGTAGCAGTCAGTAGCAGTCAGTAGCAGTCAGTAGCAGTCAGTAGCAGT